CACACGCGAGCTCTCGAGTCCTCCATGGCCACGCCACTGACTCTGGGCCCAAGAGTCCCCACGCCTCTTCACACTGCTTGCCAACCAGGTCCCCTACTGGGTCCACAGAAGTCCACTGAACATTGTAGGGCTTAGCTTGCCGCTTCATTGCTGCTTTTACCCCACTTCCCCCCATCGGTGATGTGTATGGTCACCAATCAGAGCGTGTAGGCATTGTTTTTGCAGGTAGTTAGTGAAGGAGAGAAAGCATAAAAGATCCAAGGACTTAAAGAGCTACAACTAAAGGTCCTCTCTCAGTTGACTGCGATACCTTAACTGGCTAAGGCAATGCAAACTGCAAGTGTGTGTAACATGACGTGCTGGGCAACAGATCTCCCACTGCAGGGCCTTCCCCCACTGAATAACTGCTCAAGTGATTAGTACAACAAATGGAAGGAATGACTGTACATCGCTTTGCAGGTTCAAAGCAAATGTCTTAACATGGAAACAACACACATCACTTTCTCATACAGAGTCCCTTGGAGTCTAGGCCCTGGGAAGACTTTAGGCTGAAAAAAACAGCCAGGGAAGAAATCTGACATGGGATGAAGAAAGTCTTCTTTCTGAAAATAGCAAATCTTTCCCCAAAATGATAGCAGTCACACAAAGTGTCATGTATACAGTGATAGAGTTAGACTCTGGAATCTTCTGACTGAGTAAGATAAATACCTCTGGTATGGGCTTTAGATGGGACTTCCATTCAATTCCCAATTTTCCTACCAAATCCCAGGCTTTGCTCCTAAAAGCTCCTAAGGCTATCAGAAAGAGAACGCTTCCAGGACCTTGAAGGGTTGACAATGGGAAAAAATGCTTTGTGCATGAAATGATAACTAGTTTCTTGATAACTGAAACCCACAGGTGTTTAGCATGGGTAGAACAGCAGGGTGAAGCTTATGGGGAACTGGAGCAGGAATTGGTATGATTTCTGAGAAGTTACTTTGAGGACTTTGTCATTCTTTTATTTTTAGTCAGGAACCAATGATTTTTACTGAGCAATCATTCTTTCACTGACATTACACAAAGAATTCATAAATTTAAGAATGAAAAGCCAAGTAAAGGAGGACTACCTCAAGTTTATACAGGCAAGGGATAGACTTGTCCTTCAGGTTATGGAATAACACAGAAGGGGTCCCCTTGAAGTCTGAAAGTGATTTTTTAAGCTAAATGAGCCTTATTGGATATAGCAGAAAGTGAACATATGGAATTCACTGCCCTACAAGATGATCGAGGCTGAACCAGAAATACATCCAGGTGATAGAACCACTATGGGTGTCCCTGTGGGCACTGAGGAATGGACATGTGGAATTTTCTGAAGTCCTTAACAGGAGGAGAGATCTAGGTCTACCTTCATCACCCCCTTAACCAAGACCATCCCCTAGTGTATCAACCAGGTGGCCCAGCAAGGAGTCATGATGGTAGTTTCAGGCTCTCTTCTGGAGAAAAGAGGAGAGAAAGAGGAGGTGTACCACTTACCACATAATCCAGGACACCAGCACCATCGTTGCCTCATTGAAGGCATTGAAGAAGCGGATGAGCTCTTCTCCTTCAGAGCCCAGTTTCTTCAGGGCCACTCCTAACACCAGGGCAAAAAGGACCAATCCCAAGATGTTCATCCCTTCGATCTCAGCTTCAATGGGGATCTACAAGACCAGAGTGGAGAGAATGGTCCAAGTGTACAACACCTGGTAGCAAAGTAAGATGAAATTGGCTTGGTGTCTGTACCAGACTAAACACTGGGCCCAGAATCAGCCTGGTAGAGACACCGGGCCACTTTCATCTTTAACCTTAGATGAGATTTTAATTTGTTGACTTTCATGTTTTCTTTAACCTTTAGTGATTTCACTTTGTGAATTAGTTGAGGAAACCCATGGGATGATGGAGTGTGAGGATACAGAAAGTCAACAGATAAAAATCTCACCTAGTTGATAATAATAAAAGCTGTTAAAAAACGGTATGCATTGAAACCAAAATAGTGAACTTCCTGTTATTGGATATAGTTAACTAGAGGCTGGAACCTCAAACAGCTCCTTTAAAAAACATCCAGTGACTGAGTTGTCCCTTCAAGTCAAGAGTCAGTGACTGAACCTGCCTCCTAGATGGCAATGCAATATTTTTTGTTTTTACAATCTTAAGAGTGGTCTCTTGGCTGCCTCACTTCACAGATGTTCAGGACCAACATGGACTTTTTGAGGACATTCCCTGACTTAAATGTATAGCTATGATGTATGTATTTTTTCCCTGTAAGCATAACGCTAGACAAGCTTCTTATCCCATCATACATAAGGAGTTGTGAAACTCTGAACAGGAAACATATTCAGCATGGTAAAAACAGAAAGAACATTTTAACTCTGGATTCTAGTTCGAGTCCAGGTTCTGATGTTAACTTCTCTGTAAGATGACAAATAAGCAAATTGAACCATATTTGTAGTTTTAAAACTTTTTTTTTTTTTAAAGTAGAACTTTTCCTTTAATCAAAGAAAGGCCCTTTGCCGCTGGGAGACAAATGGTGTGGGTAGCTGGAAGTACCTCCCTCTCCCCACAATTCTAGGGCACAGATTGAAAATCACGGGGCTGAATAGCCCGAGGTGCTCTGTTCCTCCCGACTCTAATAGATTATACATCCAGAATGAGAGCTCTACAAACGCTGGGACTAGTCCAGTGCCTGGCAAACAACAGGCACATAAAAGAGTGTGTTCATCCCTTTAAGGCTCATTAATGACAGCTATATTAGGTTAAGCTCGTCAGCCAGGGCTCCTCAACTACTCAGGAGCTATGATTTCCTTCCCAACGTACACACACACAGACACAGACACACACACACACATTCACTCTCTGTTGGTCTTCTTGCCCTACTTTAATTCTGCAACTGACATTTATTGTTTTTCATGTTTACCTCTATAGAACGGGTTTTTATCTGTGCTGACCACTCTGGCCTGGCACCAGGAAGGGCACATGTTGCTTTTGTTGTTAAGTGCCATCAAGTTGGTTCCAACTCAGAGCAACCCTGTATTGTGTTTCCAAGAAGTGACTGGTGGTTTGAACTGCCAACCTTGTGGTTCACAATCCAGGACTGATCCTACAGCCAGGAAGAGCACATAGCAAGCATCATATGAACCTCTATCAAATCTCCTTAATGAATGAATGACTCTAAGCCTGGGAGGTGTGCATTCATGCAAGTTACATGAGATCAAAGTGGGCATGGAAGATGGAGTCCTGGTTGGGACCAGGGTCTTTTAGATGTTCTTGGGCCTCTGTATCTCCAAATTCTGTGTCATCAACATCCCATCCTCAGAGATAAGGACCACCATTGCTATGTCTTAGAGCCACAGGGTTTATAAAACCCTGGAACTAGCGAGGAGACATCAACCCTCTCTTCTCCAAGTCTGAGTTCTTGTGCTTCTGGCTTGTATTTCCAGTGGAGGCCAGAGCATAGCCTCTGGGATGGAGCTCATGGATCACTGGCATGTCCAATGGGGGCTCGATGCAGTCAGTGAATGCTGTGTTTGCCAAAAACGTGAAGGCACTGCAGAGACAGCCAGTGGTCTAGGCTTCATGCATTACCCTTGGTTTCAAACAGTCTTGCTCTATCCTGAAGACCATCATTTCAATTAATGTGTAACAGGGATCAGGCTCACGTGAGACAACATGAAGAGATCACTTGTACCATGAGGGTGTCATGTCGGGTGCTTCCTTTTCTAGAGAGTGGGCCCAGCTGACTCCCACATCACTGCCTGCCATGCTCTGAAGTCCAGAGATTGTCAGGAGACCAGTGGGCCTCCAGCCACCCCTCTAGCTCTACCACCTTGTTTCAGCGCCAGAGAGCAGGGAATGACATTCATCCTATTTAATCAAGGGCCACTGACCAGGTCAACATTTCTCAACAGGGGAGAACCATCTCCTAGGGAGGTCTGGGATGTGACTTGGTACTTCTGGTGGTCATAATGATTGCAGGGTCTTACAGAGAAATCGTGGGAAGGGTGCCAGGGTTTCTGACTGCCCTCCAATGCCCCAGGCAGCACAGCACAGCACAGCTGACTTCTTACATCTCCCCAACTCCTGAGCACCCCATCAGACAGCCCGGTAGAAAGAGACCTGTCCTCCGAACTGAGAACTAACTACATTTTATACACAAACTGGGTTTTGGTGCATTGTTTTCATAAACAATAGATTTTCCAGGAATGTTAAACTGATGCAACCTGAAAGAAGATTGTACTCTGTTTAGTTCTGAACTCTACTGTGTGCCATTCATCCTTTTAGAAAATTCTGTCACCAACAGCCAGAGTGCTGATGATATCCAAGCCATAAGTACTACATATTTAATGCCTGCAATTTTAGCTGTTGCATTCAAAGTGGATATATATGTTGTTGTTAAGTGCTTGCTGTCAATTCTGACCTATAGTGACCCTGTGAAGGGTTTCTGCTGACCTTGTAGTTCAAACCAACTTTGCAGTCCTGAGCATTAACCCACAGCACCACACCAGGACTCTCTCTCTCTCTTTCCCTCTCTATATATCTATTTACATACATACACATATATATTATTTATTAATACTTTATTTATAAATGCCTCCCCCACAATACTGCCAATATTCAGTTGAATTTCATCTCTATTGACTCCTTGCCATTGATTCTGAGTCACCGTGATCCTACAGGAAGATTAGAACTGACCACAGGGTTTTTAAGGCTGTAATCTGGCATGGCGCTACAGGTTAACGTGCTGGACTTAAGGTTGGTTTGAACCACAAGGCCGGTGGTTCAAGCTTACCAGCCACTCCTTGGAAACCCTACATAGGGTCACTGTGAGTCAGAACCGACTCAACAGCGCTTAACAACAATACCAACAATTTTTATAGAAGCAGACTGCCTCATCTTTCTACCCCACTGTGACTGTGGGTTCGAAAGTCACTAGCAAGTTGGTTGGTTAGTAGCCAGGTACTTAACCACTGTGCTGCTACCAGAGTTCCTTGGATTGTTTCACTGCTTTTAAATATAATTTATTCATACTAAGTAGATGCAAATAACTGAAAACTTCATTATATCTCCTAGTATAGTTTTACATTTACAGGGTGAAATATCTAGTTTTGTTATAAATTACTTTCATTTCTCCATTAGGTTGTTTTAAAAAGTTAATGTGTATTGTTGTTGTTAAGTACCATGGAGTTGGTTCCGACTCATCGTGACCCTGTTTAGGGTTTCCGAGGCTGTAAACTTTTATGGGAGCAGAAAGTCTCATCTTTCTCCCTCAGAGTAGCTGGTGGATTTGAACTGCTGACCTGTGGTTAACAGTGCAATGCCTAACCCACTACACCACCAGCTCTCCCTTCAGGAGAATAGAAGGGGTGTTATAAATATTTTTGGAAGAAAGGCGCTCCACTGAGGATGCTGCAATATGTCTATGTTGGCACATGACCAAAGCAGTCAATCTAACATATATGTTACATACAGACAGTCTGTCCAACCCTGCTAAGGAAAAGATGCATCACTTACATTCCTTCAGTTAAGAAACACTAATTGCTTTTTGAATGCTTTTCAAAGGAATCTTATAGATAACTTTACCTTTTCAATGCTTCCACTTCCAGAGCTTGTGTTGTGGATTACCACTGTGTAATTGGTTGCATACTGTGAGCAAGAGAAAGAAAAACCTGCTATCAGTTCATGGGTTAAAACTGACCTAGAGGAACAGAGTGCTACATGGCCTCTGGTTGCTGGATTATTCAAGCTGAGTGTTCTGAGCATTCCTCTCTAGGCTGGCCTAATGAGGGCCTTTGAAAACTGTATTAAGACCAAGGTAACATGGACTATAAGACGCCTCTGGGTTATGTGGAGATCCAAAGAAACAGAAAGAATATCCTAATGTCCTTTGGGCAAATAGGTTTAGAGGAGATCAGTGCAGTTTCATGCCCCCACGCATATTATCTCAACAGCCTTTTATATTAATTCCAAAACACCCGAGTGCACTTTCCAATGTATCATCTTTTTCTCATTTATTTATGTTCCACTCTGCCTCAGAACTTATTGGAGCGAGACTGCTTTTCAACATCTGTTTTGAACTTCCACTTTCCAAAGTTAGGGATGTGAGGAAAGATAGCATTTTTAAGTGTTGGGATGCTGTAGTTATCAGAAAGGTAATATCTCTGCACCTTTGGTCCCACAACTGCACATCCTGTGGCAGCAGGCACCGAGTGCGGTCTGTTACAGAGCAATCCTCCTGACCCCTTGTAAATATGTCCAGCAGTTCCTGAACTGTCCAGAGGAGCCCATTAGGTGGTGCAGCCCCGGCACCTGTTCTAAGCTTGCCTTTGAGGCTTCAGAGTGGCCGAGTGTCCAGCTGTCCCATGATCAAGGTAGCAGGAGAAACACAACCCACCCAAACCCTCTCTCGCCTCATGTAATTATAATTCACACCTGTGCTTCCACTCAGCTTAAAAAGAAAACAAAGCCCAAAGGAGACACTGTCAAAAGAAACAGAAAAGTTTTGCTGGAAAAAGATTATCACAGTAGACAAAGTCATCTAGACCTCTATATCCCTTTTATGTGTAAAGAATGGCTAAAGGGATTCTTTACAAGTGGCAATGTTACATGCAGCATTGGTAAAAAATAGGGAAAGGCTGAAAACACCATGAATACCCATCTACTGAGAGAGGAAAAGTATGGGACATTTATATAACCAAAGGCTTCAGGAAAGAGCCGGTTACAAAACAATATGGAATCTGAGCTTACTTTTAAAATGTCCACATGCACGCATAGAAAAAAACCTACCAGAAGAACGTTACCATAATGTTAGCCATGAATAGCTCTAGGTAGTGATTGTTAGTAGTTGCTGTGAAATCGATTCTGACTTATGGTGAGCTCATGTAAGTTGAGTTGAATTGCTCCGTGTGGGTTTTGAAGGTTGTAATCTTTCAGAAGCAGCTCCCCAGGCCTGTCTTCTCAGACACCGCTAGGTGGGTTTAAACTGTCTTTTCGTTAGTAGTGAAGTGTTTAACCTTTTGGGCCCCTCAGAGACTCTGAGGTAGTGATTCCAGGTGATTTTTATTTTCTCCCACTTCTTTGTATTTTAATTTTTTTGGTAATGAGCACGTATTACTTCACATATTACATTTATAGTCAGGGGGGAACAAAAGACAAAAATGTACTTTTAAAATTCTGAAATATTTAAGAAATACCCAAAATGGGATTTAAGGCATTCCTCAAGTGATGTCAAAAGATGCTGGAACCAGAAAGACATTTTAGAAGTTTTTTTTGCCATTGTTTATTTGTTTTTAAACTGCAGAGCCACCTATAGAAATTTAGGCCAATGTTACCAAGTTTTGTTAACAATACTTTCTCTCCCTGTTCCTCCTTACCTAACTATACAGCAGTAATTTATACAAACACTCCCATCCCCAAGTTTCATATTTTTAGCAAAGCATCAAGACCTTACCGTTCGGAAAGCTGCAACCACTAGATTTGAGGGGAACAGGTTTCTGTTGGAAAATAAATAATTCTGTCAGTATTTAAAAAAACTTTTGTGTTCAAAACATCCACTTTAAGATGCTGGTTCCTAACAGCCTGACATGACGTTTTCTTTGCTTCCACAGCCTACTGTGTACTCGAATGCTGAGCCACAAAGAGATACTTTGAGTGCACCAGGTTTTGTCATTTCCCCCATAGGACTCCTTGGTGTTTAGGTTTAACTACATCTAATTGAAACCTAAATATGAAGGAGATTTAACTATGCCTAACTGAGAAGTTCTGTTGTGGTGCTGTAGGATAAGCACTGGACTGTTAACCCCAACGATGGCTGTTCTAACGCACCAGTCACTTCTTGGAAACCCTTTATAGCACTTAACAACAACAGCAGCAGCAGCATGCTAATTGAGCCACAGAAACTGCATCACTTTCCTATCCTATACAAGTTAAGCATTAGTGCATGGTTTTCAAGGGAACTGGTACTGACCAATGAGGAAATTTAAGGGGGTGTTTTCATTGTCACAATAACTGGGAGGCATTTCTAGAACTGGGGGTGTAGGAGGGAGGAAGTGCCAGGGGCCAATTTTTCATCCTTCTGTGGGCGCCCAATCCTGTACAATACATTTGTCTCAAGGTCCCCATGACTTTTCAATATGCTGGATGACACAACTGTGGGTTGACTATAATTACCTGAGCCTAGGCTAACTCCAAAATCAAATGATTCTGTTGTTGTTTTTGCACAGTTTGAATAGATATGGAGTTTTCCAAGAATTCAACTACTGCGCATACATGGTGTGTACATGGGAGGATAATTTTTCATTTTGTTTTGCTCAGGATACTTCCAAGAGTTATTCATCTTTCTGGAAAATCATATCACCAGTGGCAAGTTATAGGATCTGAGCCCTTAATTCCATGAACCATTCTGCTCATTTATAGCTGTCTCTTTCATGGCGATTCTAAATTCAAGAGCAAACCTCCACTACTTTGTTTTGGAGCAGTTACATAATGAAGCACATGTTTTCCTTCTTTCTTTTATATTACAGGTGTTATGTGCCGTGGTGTTGGTTCCGACTCATAGTGACCCTGTACAGGGTTTTCGAGGCTGTAAATCTTTTTGGGAGCAGAAAGCCTCATCTTTCTCCCGCAGAACAGCTGGTAGTTTCAAACTGCTGACCTTGAGGCTCGCAGCCCAATTTGTAACAGAGCTCCTTATATTACAGGTAAGTCATGTTATTGTTTTGAAATTATATGTGTATAGGTAAATTCTATTTATGGATTTACATTCAGTAAGAGTTATTATATAATGTTTTCTATATCTATTATGGAATCCTGGTGTGGTGCTGTAGGTTAATGCGCCAGACTACAGAGCCCTTTGAACTGCAAGGTAGGTGGTTCAAGCTCACCAGCTGCTCTTCGGAAACCCTATACAGGGTCACTATGGGTTGGAATCGACTCAACGGCACTTAACAACAACAATAATATCTATTATGGACTCCTGGTGTGGCTCTGTCAGATCAGCACTGGACTATGAACCACAAGGTCGGCAGTTCAAACCTACCAGCTGATCCCTGGAAACCCTATAAAGGGTCACTATGAGTAGGAACTGAGCCAACAGCACTTAACTATAAGAACGCATTTATTATAAGAGGAGAGCAACAGAGATAATAGTTAAGTTAAGCTAGATTTTGAAGCCAAAATCTATTTATGCAAACAGCTTTTATGTATGGTCTTCTTCGAGTCAGTCTTTGGGCAGAATGCTAGTCTTTATATCCACAGGATTACAACTGACAGTACATTTTTTCTACCCACATAATGTAAGAAACATCAGAGAGCAAAAGGCACATCCGTTATAGTTTGTGCCAAACTATAATTCTTACTTCTGCAATTGGGCTGTTCACCTAGGACTTGAATCTCCACTTAACTTTTGGAAGTGCATTGAGTTCAGAGGACAGTAAGTCTGATAGCAACCCAGCTATGACAGGAAGACTCTAAGATGGTCCCAATGATTCCTACACCTCCACATTCACACACTTGTGAAATTCCTTCCCCTTCAGAGTGCGTAGGACCACTGGCTTGCTTCTACCTGATGTGACACTGCAAAGGTGATAGGATGTCCCTTCTATAATTTGGGTACATGAGATTTTGATTTCCATCTCACTAGCAGATTCTGTGTACAGCCAGAGTGCTCCCTGGAAGCCAGGATGGCCAGACTTTGTCTCCTTGGACATGTTGTCAGGAAGGACCAGTCACTGGAGAAGGATATCATGTTTAGTAAGGTGGAGGGTCAGAGAAAAAGAGGAAGACGCCCAGCAAGATGGATTAGCCAAGTGGCAGCATCGATGGACTCAAGCGTAGCAATGATTGTGAGGTTGGCACATGACCACACAGTATTTCGTTCTGTTGTGCATAGGGTTGCTATGAGTCGGTACTGACTTGATGGCACCTGACAACAACAGCAATAGCAGATTCCTTATTGTCCTTTGGACTCGCACACTTCGATGAAACAATCTGTTGTTAGAGGCTCACATGGCAAGAAACTCATGGTGGCTTCCAACCAGTCAGCTAAGAACTGAAGGTCCTAGTCCAACAACGCTCAAGGAACTGAATTCTGTCACCAACAGCCACATGAAATGTATTCTTCTGTAGTTGAGCCTTCTGCAGATGACCAACACTTTGATTGCAGCCTGCAAATTACTCTGAAGCAGGGAACCCAGGAGTCCTAGACAGATACTGTGAGATAAAAAATGTGTGTGGCCTTCAGCTGCTAAATTTGTGGTAATTTGTTGACAACAGATAACTAGTACACAAGTCAAGAGGGTTTAGTTAATGGAACATCTGATAAAGTCTAGAAGGGAGAACACTTCATTAGAACACTTCGGGTGGTCCACAGGACAGTAAGCCTTTAAGAGATGATAGCACAGCATCACCAATCTTGTCTATGAAGCCCGATTTACCATTTAAACACAGAATACCAATAGGTATACGCCTGCACCTAGCACACAAAAATGTAATCTTCAATTGAATTAACCACTGCAGAACTGTCACCAGAAATTTGAGTCCTATCACAAGTATCTTTTACTTTAAAAAATAAAAAGGTAGAAACAAAATAGTTACTTGGATGAGCTATTCTTTAGTATACAGATGGAGTCAAACCTCAAGGCCAGTTTGAATTGCAAAGTTGGTGGTTTAAACTCACCAGTCATTCCTTGGAAACCCAATAAAGTGTCACTAGGATTCAGACGAGACTCAAAGGCACTTAACAACAACAGTACATAGGAGTCCTGGTGTGGCACTGCAGGATAATGCACTGGCCAGCAAGGTCGGTTTGAACCACAAGGTCAGTGGTTCAAACTCACCAGTCGTTCCTTAGAAACCCTCTAAAGGGTCATTATGAGTCAGAATCAACTCAATATCTTATTTCCATTTGCTCTTTAGAAGCAGAAACATCCCTGAATCAAAGTTTCTTATAGCCACTATATGGGAGCTTTCAGTAGTTCCAACACTGAGCCAGCCACTGGCTTCTCTTCCCAAGAGAACTGGGAAGTCGGAAAGAGTCCTGTACCTGCCCCAAAGGGAACACCTTCCCTCTGTAAACACCTTACATCCTCCAGACATTAGCTGTTTCCACATCTGGTACAACTTCAGCCTTTCCCGCAGCTTTGAAATGTACTCTCTTCCAAAGAACACAAACTGTATTTGTTTAAACCCTTCTATCTGGCCTGCCTGGTCTCTTTGTTAAGAGCAATAACCCAGGCCTGTAACCTAGTACGGTCTCTCCCAGAACAGACTCTGACCCTAACTCAGAATCTACTTTTGAACAAAAACCCACTGACACACCAACTGGATTTCAGACAGTCTGCACTATTTGGTTTGCAAAACTCAATGGGAATTGAGGGTGAAGACGATACTAGAGGCAAAATGGCAACTCTTGCCCTCCCCCCCCCCCAAAAAAAAAAAATCAAGTTCCTAAAAAGGCTAAGATGTATTTTGGCAGATTCTTCTAAAGGTAAACATACACTTACTATATAGTCCGGAAATTCTAGACATTGACACAAGAGAAATGAAAACATATGTCAGCAAAAAAGGACCTGTACTTATAAACAGCACTATTCTTAACAACTCCCAACTCAAATTAAGTCCATCAGCAGATAAATGGATAAACAAATTCTGATATATCCATACAATGGAACATCACTTGGCAATAAAAAGGAATTCGATCTACAGTCACTTTTCCTGACTCTTCACATTCACAAAGGACCTTCCTGGGCTCCCAGTCTGTGAGTGGAGAGATTTTAGAGATGATCTAATTCAGCCCCCTCATTTAATATGTGGAGAAACCAGGGCCCAGAGATGTTAAATTGACACATCTTCCATGCATGCTCCATTTAGACCAGCACTGTCCAATAGAACTTTCTAGATAATGGAAATGTTCTACATTTGTGTTGTTCAATATGGCAGCCATATGGCTATTGAGCATTGAAATGTGACTGTTGTTGATGTTGTTAAGTACCCTCCAGTGGGTTCTGACTCATAGTGACCCTGTATAGGGTTGGCTGGTGAGCTTGAACTGTAGACCTTGTGGTTCAAACTGACCTTGCAGTGCAGTGAATTAATGCACAGCACCACACCAGGACTCCTAAAATGTGACTAGTGCTCTATTGAATTTTAAGCTTTATTTACATTTACAAAAAGTAACTCTAAGTAGCTCCATGTGGCTGTTAGAGTCCTGGTGTAGCTCTACAGGATAAGCACTGGACTGCAAGATTGGTTTGAACCACAAGGTCTGCAGTTCAAATCTAACAGCCGCTCCTTGGAAACCTTATGCAGGGTCGCTATGAGTTGAAACGGACCCAGTGGCACTTAACTACAACAACAAAAAGAGGACTTCTGGACTCCTGGTGTGGCACTGTAGGTTCAGCACTGTACTGTGAACCACAAGGTCAGTGGTTCAAACCTACCAGCTATTCTTTGGAAACCCTACACAGGGTCACTGAGTTGTAATTGATTTGATTGA